GGCAGGCTTTTGTAGCCAAGCCTTCTCCCCCCTCCTTTTCTACAGCTAAGCTGTGGAGGGGGGTTTTTCCTTTCCCTCTGCTGGAAAGTGGAGGAGAGGCTCAGCATTGAAGCTGAGCCAAGTGGACGGGCCGTGGAGGTAGGCCCAGCGCTCGGGAAAAGGGTCCCAAGCAAAATTGGAGATGGACTCCCCCCCCCCAGAGAGAGAGAGAAAGGGGACCTGGAGGATCTCTGCCACGCAGGACAACCGAAAACCTGAGGAGAAATCCACATGCCAGGACGTGGACACCTGATAAGCAGAACCACACTGCAGCAGTCTATGAATCTAAGTATGAGAGAGAGGGAGATCACACAGCGGCAGGAGAGCAAGGACTCAAAGCTATCTTCTCAGACTTCATGAGGAGGAGAGACCGCAACAAACAACTGGAACTTGGTGAGGGGGGAGCGTTCAGACCCAGAACACTCCCACAGAGGGACTGGTTACTTTCCAGCCTTGAAAAGGCTCTTTCCTGGACTAAACTTAAAGGAGGGGCTTGAAAGGACTGATTGATAGAGATGTAATATATTATAGTTGTCTTTAGTTTGTATAGTATTTATTTGTGTAAATAAATGTATATATATTACCCCCTTCCCCTATAGAAGCCTCTGGCCTGAAAGTTTCTCTTCAGTAGTGTTGGCATAAATTGTGGGAGGGGGTGGAGAAGCCTGAAAATTGGATTTTTAGATTTCTAACGTGGCTCAAACTGCCACACTTTGCTAATCTGTTGTCTATCTCCCCGTCAATCTTACCATCTGAGGAGATGATGTTACCTAGGTAATTAAACTGCTGGACTGATTTGAGCTCTGATTCGTCAATGGTGATATGGGCATGATGGAAGGCTTCCTGAGATGCAGGTTGATAGAAGACTTCTGTCTTCTTTAAGCACAAAGATTAGTGTTTACAGAGCCATCATGCTGTCTACTCTCTTATATGGGTCCGAATCATGGGTCATTTACTGCCACCACCTGCGTCTCCTAGAACGCTTCCATCAATGCTGTCTCTGTACAATCCTAAACATCCACTGGTCAGATTATGTGACCAATACGTCTGTTCTAGAACAAACAGCAATCACAAGTATTGAGGTCATGTTACTGAGAACACAGCTGTGCTGGGCAGGACATGTCTCCAGGATGGAGGACTACCGCCTCCCTAAGATTGTGCTTTATGGTGAACTTGCCACTGGCTGCCGCAAGAGAGGAGCCCTGAAGAGGAGATACAAGGACTCCCTGAAACAACATCTCAGCCTTGGCCATATTGATCTTCATCACTGGTCTACTCTGGCCTCCAGTTGGGAGTCCTGGAGGCACACTATCTATAACGCTGCTACTTCTTTTGAGAACGCACGCAGGATCATTCTAGAGGAGAAAAGACAATGCAGAAAGCATCGCGTCTTGCTGATACCATCCAAGGAGTGTTTCTGCTGTGCCTTTTGCAACTGGACTTGTCTATCTCGCATTGGCCTCTTTAGCCACCAGTGCGCTTGTAGCAAATGTGGGTAGAGCCCTTCCCAAATCTTCATTCGCAAAGCCTGGCCATGATAGGACAGAGGTGTTTCAAATATAAAAACAGTAAACCAGAAAGTGGAATTGATGATTATGTAAGTCCCTTTGGAGAAAGGGCAAATGAAATAGCGGAAGAGGGGGCTTCCGTTCCCCCCTCAGGACTGGTAAAAGATGAGGACAATAAGTTGTCCTCATCCTCAGGACAACAAGGGAGGGACGGAGAAAGAGGAAGAGGAGGGGCTTCTCCTTCCCCATCCTTATCTCCCCTGAGCAGGCAAGCACGCAGTGGGGTGAGAGCAAGACCCGTCGACCTATAAGGCTTAAAGTTAATTTCTCTATGGGAGATCTAGAAAATTAGAAAAATATTGCTTGTAAATATAGAGATGATCCAGTTGGGGGTAGCAAAGAAGTTTAAAACATATATTAAAATTTCAGGTCTGGACTGAGAAAATATTGATTTGGTGCTAGATGCTTTTAACTGAAACTGAAATGGAATTAGTATTAAAAGCAGGCAGGGCATAAGCCCAAACTGTGTTAAAGCCTGATAAGAATAACCATCACCAACTTCTTCAGAAGTACTGGGGAGTTTGTACTCCAGAGACCCCTGGTTTTAATGGAACTGGAGAAAGACAAACATAAAATAGAGTTTTTGGTGGACACCAGTGCATCATGTTCTGTGATAAATCAAGAACTGAATGTTATGAATAATGGATCTTTGAATGTTATAAAAGAAACTAGTCAACATCAGAAGGTATCGTTTATGAAACATTTTAAGTATGCACAAATTCCTTCGTATGCTTCATACACCTATATCACTTTCAAGACAAGACTTATTAGAAAAATTGAATGCAAAAATTGAGTTAAAAATAGCGAGATACAAATTGAAGTAAGAGAAAATAAACTAATGGTAATCTTAAGTCTTGCTTTAATTCAGCTACAAATATCGGGAGAAGTGCCATCATCGAGCCTTAATCAAGTTTTACCCTGGAGTTTGGGCCGACGGGACCCTAGAAAGAGCTAAAACTAAACAGTAAGGTTAAACGCAGAACAGTTGGTAAGAAACAAACAATATCCTCTATCTCCACCAAGTGGTAGTAAACCCATATACACTTTTGACCAAACTAAAAATAAATATGTTTCTGTTCTAGACTTAAAAGATGCCTTTTTCTGCCTGCCTTTGGACCCTAAAAGTCAAAAATTGTTCGCCTTTGAGTGGGAAAATCTGGACACAAGTCGCCGATCCCAGCTCACCTGGGCCGTATTATCTCAAAGATTTAAAAATAGTCCACAATCTTCAAAAATCAACTTGCAAAAGATCTTAAAAAATGGACTGCACTGTCAGACAGCAAGGTCCTCTTGCAGTATGTGGACGATATGTTAATTACCACCAGGACCCAAGATGAATGTGAAAGCTGGACCGTAAGCTTATTAAACTTTCTGGGACTGAAAGGGTACAAGGTATCCAAAAATAACACCCAGATTGTCAAGAAAGAAGTTATTTATCTAGGATATGAAATCTCAGGAGGACAACGTCAACTAGGACCAGAGAGAAAAGAAGCCATCTGTAAAATACCTTTGTCCCAGACTCCAAAAGAATTTCGCACATTTTTAGGAATGACTGGCTGATGTAAGCTTTGGATCTACAAATATGGACTGATAGTCAAACTCCTATACCAGATTCTACAGGATGGGATTAAACAATTAGTGTGGACTGGAGAAGCTAGGCAAGCTTTCCATCAACTTAAGAAGGAACTGATGCAAGCACCTGCACTAGGTCTTCCAAATGTGACTAAATCTTTTGCTTTTCTCACACGAAAGGCAAGGGATTGCATTAGGAGTCCTAATCCAACAGATAAGAACATATCGTCGAGCAGTGGCATACTTCTCTAAACAATTAGATGAAGTAAGCAAAGGATGGCCAGGATTCTTGAAGGCAGTAACAACAGCAGTGCTAAACATACAAAAAGCACAAAAAGTTTACGATGACTGTTCTAATATCACATGTGGTTTCAGCAGTGCTAGAATGGAGAGTCACTGGCTCTCGCCCTCCAGATTTAACATCAACAATCCAATCACCTTTTTGTCCAGTTCAACGACTACAGAGGAACCAGTGCATCACAGTTGCATAGAAACAATTGAGGCAACATATTCCAGTCGACTGGACTTAAAAGATACAGCGCTGCCTAAGGCGGAAATGTGGTTTTTACCGATGGGAGCAGCTATTTGAAAAACGGAACCCGCAAAGCAAGATATGCAATAACAACCACAGATCATATCATCGAAGCATAGGCACTCTCTGCTGGCACCTCTGCACAAAAGGCAGAGATAATTGCACTTACCAGAGCATTGCAGTTACGAAAAGGAAAAGACATTAATACATGGAAAGATTCAAAATATGCTTTTGGTGTAGTAAATGCCCATGGAGCAATATGGAAAGAAAGAGGGCAGCTCTCATCACAAGGAAAACAGATAAAGCACGCTGAAGAAATCTTTAAGCTCTGTTCAATTACCAAAATCTTGCCATTATGCATTGCAGAGGATATCAAAAAGGTGATACGGACCAGGAAAAAGGCAATCGATTAGCAGATCGAGTGGGAAAAAGGCAGCAGAAAACAGCCAGGTAGGATTAGCATCCTTAATCCCAGATGGCAAAATCATAGAGGTAAACTCTAATGTATCATATTCAAGAGAAAATTTAAAATTAATAAAAATCAACAAGGTCAACTCAAAGGTAATATATACCACTTAAAAACAGGGTAAGTAGTAATACCTGGAAAGGTACTATAGAAAGTTGTACAGGCAGAACATAACAAAACTCATTTGGGGACAAATGCACTGCATAAACACCTAAAGAAACAAATTATAGGACGAAATTTATACACTGCACAATAATCCTCACACAACCAATAAAATAGAAATAGGGACAATTGACAAGGGTAACCTCCCAGGGCAACACTGGCAGATAGATTTTTCAGAATTACCTAAGAAAAGGAGGTACCGATACCTATTGGTCCTAAAAGATACCTTCTCAAGTTGGTTAGAAGTTTTCCTGACCGGAAGCAATAAGGCTCGAGAAGTTGTCAGAGTACTACATTTTTATAACTAAAAGATAAGCAGCATTCTGCAAATTGATTGACAATTACATACTCCATATCAACCACAGGGAAGTGATCAGGTGGAGAAAATGAGAAGTAAATCTGCATTGGTACCAAGCCTTACCTCTAGCCTTGTTGCGAATAAGGGTCAAACCTAAGACTAAAGAAGGGCTAAGTCCTTTTGAAATGTTATATGGAAGACCCTATGGGAATTATTATCAAGGAGAAGACCTCATACAAGTTGGGGAAGGATATATACGGGAATATCTGATCACATTGAGTAAACAATTGTCAGAAATTACCAAACAAGTAATGAGTACTCGCTCAAGGGGAATAGACCAGCCCTCACATAACATTTCCCCTGGAGAGTGGGTGTATGTTAAAACTTTTTCAGGCCAACCACTAGATGAGAAGTGGAAAGGACCATACCAAGTGCTTCTGATGACCTTCACAGCAATCAAAATCAAAGAACAGCCCACCTGGATTCATTATTCACAAGTGAAGAAGTCACCTAGAGGAACATGGACGTCAGAACCTGTAGGACCAACAACCCTCAAGTTTACTCGACACTAACCGTTGGAACTCTGATAAGTATAATAACTCTGGCTCAAGCCATTACCTTAGACTGACCATGGTCTCAGGCTTATATTGGATATTCTGGTATGTCTGGAAGAGACATTTCTAATTTAAACCTGGCCACTGTGGTCATGCACAAAAATGAACCATATTTAAAACATTAATAGAAGAAAAGGAATGGGCTTAGTACCTTAACTGGAATAATTGGGGAAATACAAATGGGATGTAGAGGAATTAATATACCCAACCATGAGAAACAAATGTCCCAGACTCAAATCACTGTAAGAGAACCCATAGAATATAACAAGGGAAAACTGATTGGTAAGTCCGTCTGTGCGTCCGATCAGTGCTGGCACAACTTTACATTAGACAAATCAGTTTCTGTAGTATGTCTTTGGGCTACTTTGAAAGGAGACAAGGCACTATCAAAGAAATTTATAATAGACACCACAACAACAGCAACAACACAGACTTCTGCTAAACTGACTCCTTCCTCATATACACCCTCAGAATGCACAGAAAGAAGTCATAATCTTTCCCTTGTAGGACCTTATGTAATTAGACAATCTAATGAGCAGAAGTTACTCCTGGACCCTATATATTCACTAAAAAAAGGTCCAAGTTAAAATCCAAACAAACATATCCTCTATAAAAGGGGATTTTCAGCCCTTCATTCTCCAAAGTCTTAAAGGATAGAGAGCTTGGTTAAGAACTAGATCCCATCCGTAAAAGAACACAAAAAGATCTAACAGGATGGTTTGGATCAAGACTAGGTGTATTAAATTCAATAGATCAGGAAATATTAATTACTAAACTCAGCACTGTAACCTCTGATTTGGGAAAACTGGAGGTACCACTAAGATCATTATTAATGACTATAGCTGAAACACAATCTCTTACTACAGACTTGATGATCTTGTTAGCTAAACACACATCTGAAGATTTTCAGGTTGTGTTTTGGGGGGTTTACAAGGAAATGTCTCAATAGCAATACCGTGCATTCAAACCCAGCAATGGATACAATCCATACCTGCAGGAGTTATAAGAGAAGGAACATCAGGAATTTTACCTCAGGAAATAAGAGATCATATCTAGAAAATGACAACACAACCAAATTTGAGAAAGAACATCAGGCATGGTGGCAATTAGTAAACTTCACATATAAATCAAAGCAGGAGCAGATAGAGGCATATGTTCTTACCATCCGTGAGGCAAAAGAACAGACCATATTTCCTGTCTTAGCATTAGGAACAATACACCAGGACAAAGTAATTAGACCCATGGGATATAATGTCTGGGCAAGCTATGACAGGGACATAGGGAGATGGCAAACTATCAGCACAGAAGCCTGTATACCCAGAGAACAACTAGGATATATATGTGAAAATGTTGTAGCAGAAAAGGAGGATTTATGTTTAGATACGGAAAATAGTACATGTACTTTTGAAATGTTCCCAAATACACAGGCACAGACCCAAGTACACTATGCAGGTAAAGCATGTGTCTGCATCAGGACACCTTGCACAAGTATAACTATTGATGATTGTAAAGAATTAACTAATGGTACTAACTTCTGTGTTTGCAATTTTACTAAAATAATAGGATGTGACTTTAGTTACACTGCTCCTGTGACCTCTATGCAATTGATCTTGGATAAATATATCATGAAGTGCCTAAACTACAAATAAGTATGGACATTAATATCCTCCAGAAAATGCTCTATCATCCTTATGTAGAAAAAATGATGGAAAAGGTAAAGGCTACTTCACGTTGCATGCTGTGGCAAGTGAAACACGACACAGCAGAGATTAAAAACATCATTACTGAAGTGGCAAAGACTGGAGAAAATCATTGGTGGAACATATTTCTGGGAACAACCAATATACAGTCACCCACTGCAGCCCAGCTGTTTAACTTCCTGTTTCACCCGACCTTGTTTCTGATGCTGGCAGCTTTCCTCCTTACAATCATCAATCTATGGATGTGGTGGAGAATCAAGACTATAGCGCAACAAGTACATGTGCTCCGGACTGTACAAAGGGTGATGCAAAAGAATTTGCAATAATTAAAAGAAAAGGGGGGATTGAAACAAAGACAAAACAAAATAAAATAAAAATGTAGCTATGTTAGTAAATTTAGCTATGTTAGTGTGACTTTGCAAATTGTAATTGCTTGAAAGAAGGTTGCTGCCTAAATTGTGGGCAATTAAGATAAAGCTAGCTTAGGTAAATAAAAGGACTGTCAGGAAAGTGGGAAAGACTTTTACCACGTAGCATTGCAAGGGAGACAGAAGGAGGGGTGGGAGGAACCTAAGCTGTTTGAAATGATAAAACTTTATGTAACTACTCTATAATAGTAAGAATAGGAGTTAGGCAACCAAATGTCTATTTAGATAAGGCAGACTTCATAAAGAGTGTATATGAGAGATAATTTTTGAAACTCACTGTATAAAAAGCTGTTTCTTTTCTCAGCGGACATGCACGGGGGGGCGGAACCCCCTTGCATCTCCCCAACCATAATAAAAGTGTGCTTTATATATATTGTTTAAGGATGTGAGAAATAGAAACCCAGAGTCGGGTGATTTCCAATTCGAATTTATTATATGATAAAAGTAAATTCAGCGCTGGGTGATCAGGGAGGGGTTTTAACAACTCCCAACGCCTGTCACACCCAAAGAAGACAGTTGTTCTACATTTATTTCCAGCTACTTCATGAATATTCATTATACACAAGCATAAACATTACACATTGTTAAATCAGACATTCAACAGATGTTCTTACACATAACTGTTATCTATTTACAAGCATAAATAATATACATGGTTAGTTCAGACATTCAACAGATGTTTTTCTTAAGCTTAGTTATAAATTCTCAAGAAAGGTGTTATCCAATTAACTAGCTTCACAATAAATTTTGTACAAGGTAAAAGGGAGGTAACTGGTTTTATGTCTTTATAGGGGCCTAATTAAGTTTTACGATTTGTTTTCTCTTCTTTCTCTAGGTTACACTGACCTTACGCTGTTCCCTTTTCGCTCGAATCATGCTCTTTAGTTTATCACAATCCATCCCCTTGTTCTGTACAATTATTGATTCGAGTCTTTTGCTCTAATCTGGACAATATTAATTTTACATCTTCTTCATCTCGGGAAGGTGGAGTTTTGGTGACTAATAGTACTTTGGTACTTTGAGCAGTCTTTGGATCTATTGGCGTTGTTGATATTTGCATTCCTTGTACAACAGAAACTATTAATCTAATGAAGCAAGGGATTAAACATGGTAAAAATATTATACTGGCCAAAACTCATAATAAGAAGAATCCTACTTTCTTCCACCATGCTGTCCCTAACAAGTTATCCCACCATGTGCTGTCTAACATGGAGTTCCATTTTTGTATGGGTACGTGAGTCAGTTTTCTAATATCTTTTGCAATGTCCATAACTGCCTGTCTATTATCATCAATTTGTAGGCAACAATCTGAGGTATTGAATTTTCCACACACACCTCCCTCTTCAGCTAACATAATCCAAGGCAAGTCGATTCTGATACACAGCTACTCGAGTTTTTGACTGCTGGCTTGTGATTCGATCCAGAGTTTGAATTGTTTTATTGGCTACTATTTCCATAACTGCCTGAAGGCGGATAATTCTATTTAGCATGTATATGGGGGTTCGATAACCCTAGTTCCCATCTTGGACCCAAGTAGCTGGTCCGTAAGTAGCAATGATCTGCTCAGGAGGTCATTCATCATCATACCACTTTTGGGTTCCGCCAATGTAATTTCTTTTTTCTCGGTGTATAGTTCCATAATCATCGTACAAGGGTACACCTAAATTCATACCCTTTTCGGGGGGCAGTAAGAAGAACCCCGGTTGGATTATACCTAGTGTACAGACTCCTCTCCAGTCTTTAGGGAGCTGTGTACATGCTCGCTTTCCACATATCCAAAATAATCCTTCTGGAGTTACCCATTCTAAATTGATACTATTTGCTTGGTCCCAGTATATTTTCAATTCTTTTATGCTTTCAAAAGGATTTTTCCAGTTTGTTTTATTACACCACCAGCTATGAGCTTCATCGTACCATGTACAACCTGCACTCACATTGTTAGTCCAATACCTAATGGCTCTTTTGGCCACCAAAATTCTCCTGTGGCATTTATAATTTTCACTGATAGGCATGGGGACTCTCCTACTTTAGTTCTATATGTTTCCCTGCCTCTTCGTTCAATGCATTCTTGTCCGACTACATCAGAAGTTAAAATCCAGCCTTGGGGCCTAGATTCTGATGCTTTCTGGAAGTGATTCCACTTTAAAATTTCCCATGGAGTGAGGTCAGTCCCTTTCCAGGGCCACTCTTCTGTCATTAAGGGTCCACTACAAATGCAGCACTTAGATTAATCTGAGGTCTGAATAATATGCTCCATTAGATCAATATATAGGTTGGTTCCATACCCTGGGAGTTGCCAATCTTCTCCTAGTTTGTCTTTTAATTTCTGGTATAAATCACCTATGTTGGAAGGCTTTTCTTGTGTAGTTCCTTTTAATGTAGTTTGCACTTTTTGTTTTATTATTTCCTCCCTTTTTAAATACTGCATTCCACCCCTGTCAGAAATGTCCCAATGGCTTCTTGAGTGAAACAAATCCATTCCTCTCCCTTAGTACAACTAAGTCCCAACCTGGTTCCCCCTTTTCCTAAATTTTTTGCTACCCATAGTTGCCGAGAACCCGTGTTGCAAGTGTTCAGTTGTCTAGAGTCATAGCAGACTTTGTTGACAAATGAGTGGTAGCTTAAGCTTTGAATCATACGGCCTTTATATCATGTAGTTTGGTAACATTTGGCACATTCATCAGACAGGATGTGAGCCCAAAAGCAGCAGAGTATCCAAAAGGGTCCAGCATAACTTAAACCCCCATGGCCCATGTCCAAACAGGGTTGCAGCCCGTGACTGAACCTGTCAGTGGCAGGTTCAGTGGTTAACCTGGTCTTGCCCCTTTTAGTTCTTCTGATTTGATTAAGGTCCAGTTTTTCGGATTCCAGGTAAAAGTTCACTTTATCTTGCAAAAAGCCGTGTTCTTTCAGCTAACTTACTATTTCCACTAATTAATCAGTATATATATATATATAGACATCGTTGGCCATTGTGACATTCTTTACATGGGGTCTATAAAATTAAAGTCATCTAGTGGACAGTCAATTTGGGCCACTTCCCAAGCAAATTTCTTTGCACTGTATTCTAATGCTGTATACAAGTCCATTTCAAATATCTCCCAATTTACTGGTAATAACAATTCCCACCCACAGAACAGCTTATTTATCTGTACTGACTCGAATTGGTGTTGATCCCCTTGTGTGTCACGACACTCAGGGCAATGTATATGTCAGTTAAAGGCTACACAGGACCATATACGGTGACAGTGCTTACACTGACACTTTACCCAACCATCGTGTTGAGACCCCAGGTGTTTTATACAGCGTATTCGACTTGGTGGTGGTGGTTCAGGAATTAGGGAATCTTCTTTCTCAAGGTCACAAGCCAACACAAGGATTGGGTTAACTAGATGATAAGTAATATATACACCTGCCCCTCCACTCTGCCAGGGGATGGGTCCCTCCTTCCATGAAATAACCGCCTTCTCTCAAGAATTTGTCCTGGGGCTAATTGAAACCAGGATCTCAGGTTACGTTTTATGCTAAAACTTTCGGGAAATACCTGTCGGGCTTTTAAGTTCCTCTGTGCTGGGGATAACTCATTCCAGTCCTCAATATGTCTCCTCCATTCAGACAATGAATTCATAAAGGTTTTTCTGGAGTTTGAGTCGTAGGTCCCCAGGCGTTGACGACACAGTCCACTCTTTCAGGGGTGGTGGAGCTACAGGTCCTTTCACTCTGGTCACGTGAGTCCAACCTCGTTCTGCTGTATGGACTGCGGTTTCTGTTGTGAGCAGTACCTGGAAGGGACCTTCCCAAAATGGGGTTAAAGAAGTTTCTTTCCATTTTTTTATTAGGACCCAATCCCCTGGGTTTATTTTATGTATTTTGAAATCGAATGATGCTGTTTGGGCTAAGGGTCCTCGCTCTCTTATTTCTGTTAATCTTTTTGTAAGTGTTTGTATGTATGGTCTTAATTTGGTGTCAATATTGTTATAGTCACCTACTGCATCTTTTAACCAGATATAAGGCAATCCATAAAGCATTTCATATGGTGATAGACCGAGGTCTGCCCTGGGTTGGGTTCGGATACGTAGCAAGGCTAATGGCAAGCATTTAACCCATGACATCTGGGTTTCAATCATCAATTTAGTTAGGGCTTGCTTTAGAGTCTGGTTCATTCGTTCTACCCTCCCTGAACTTTGGGGGTGCCAGGGAGTATGGGGCTTCCATGTGATTCCTAATGCAATTGTTATTTCTCTGAGTAGTTTGGAAGTAAAATGAGTTCCCCTGTCTGAATCTATGCTATCTACTACTCCATATCTGGGAATTATATTTTCAAGTAATACTTTGATCACAAAATTTGCTGTAGCCCTCCGAGTAAGTATTGCTTCTACCCAGTGGGTCAGATGGTCAGTTATTACTAATAAGTATCTCCATCTGTTCACAGGTGGCAATTCTGTGAAATCCACCTGGATTCGCTCGAAGGGTCGGTATGCAATATTCCGTCCTCCTACAGGGGTATTTCTCATAACCTTTTTATTTACTTTTTGACATGTCAAGCAGTGGCTGGTAACTTGCTTAGCGATTTCGAAAATTCCTATACACCCATAACATTGTAAAAACTGGTCACATAGAGCTCGGGTTCCCCAGTGAGTGGTCTGATGTAACTTCACTAATATTGCCCGTGCCATTGGTTTAGAAACTACTTTTCTCCCATCCGCTAGGATCCATGACCCCCCTTCCTGCTTCTTTGCCCCTATTCGTGTTAGTTCTTTCTCCTCTCTTTCTGAAAATACTGGTATTTCTAACTTTTCGGGCTGTTGTAAATTTAATATATGTAACTTGGTTATTTCCCCCTTTTCAGCTGCATCTTTTGCCACTTTGTCTGCTAAGTTATTTCCTCGGATTATGAATGATATTCCCTTTTGATGTCCTTTTACATGGACTACTGCTATCTCTAGGGGTTTCCTTAAAGCTTCTAATACTTGATTTACCAACTCTTCATGTATTAGTGATTTACCTCTCGTGCTTATTAACCCCCTTTCTTTCCAAATTTTCCCAAATGTGTGCACGACTCCATAAACATACCTTGAATCAGTGTAGACAGTTCCTCTTTTTCCTTTTAATAATTCAAGAGCCCGGTAGAGGGCATATAATTCACACCCTTGTGCTGACCAGGCTGAACTAAGCTTTCCTGATTCTGCAATTGTCATGCTATCCCCATTAATTATTGCATATCCAGAAATTCTCTTCCCATCTTTGTATCG